GATGTTGTTCAGTATTAGTTTTCTGCCACATATGTATGTAGACCAATAGAACCTTCCACATTCAAGTTTTTTTTTTTTTAAACATTACTCCGCTATGCTGGTCTATTGTGTAGTATATCTGTAAAATACTGTGAAGGATGTGGTTCTAACATGGCAGAATGTGGATAGTTTTACAAAGAACTAGATTTTGGCTTGCTATGACCAAAAAGTTGTTGATTAAACAATTAGACACTTTTAAGATCAAGCATCAACCTTTGATATTTCTGCTCCTCTTTGGCTCGTAAGACACAAGATGCAGCCATTCGATCAATCCATCCTTGTGTCCATCCCTCTGATTCCAGGTGGTCGTGATTATGCTATTCCTGGGCCTGCTGGGAATCAGTCTATACGGGACCACCCAGGTGCGTGACGGCCTGGAACTGACGGACATCGTGCCCAGGGAGACCAGCGAGTACGACTTCATCGGCGCTCAGTTCAAGTTCTTCTCGTTCTACAACATGTACGTGGTGACGCAGCGGGCCGACTACGCCCAGATCCAACCGCTCTTGCACCAGCTCCACCAGAGGTTCCACACCGTTCGCTACGTGTTGAAGGAGGACAACGGCCAGCTTCCCCGCATGTGGCTCCACTACTTCAGGGACTGGCTGCAAGGTGAAATTAAGCCCGGTTTCTAATCAGGACTCCGGCCAGATGTTAAGCCGACTGCTCTGTGTGTCAGTTTCAGTTAGCTCAAAATTTGATTCCCGACTGCCGTGTTACCGAAACTTTTGTTCACTTCTTGAGAATAGCAGAGGGAGGAATGGCAGTGATTTAGTTTCTTGCGGAAAAAGTTTTGAGATCATCATTTTCGTCTTTGTTTGACATAAATCCACAGCAAACAAGATGTTAGGCTGGGGTTCAAAAAGCAGGAAGCATTTCAAACTTTACGCTGATAGTGGCTGATTAAAATCCCGTAAGGGAGGCTGATGGAGAAGATGTTAAAGACAATATTTTTATTCTGGGCTTTAGGAATTGAAAAGCAGAAGATTTAGCATCAACTTGAAAAGTTGATGTTAAAAGTTAAAAGTGAAATCAAGGTTCTTGAGAAATTATAGAAAGGTTTAAATTTCAGTTTATTTTCCAGGTTTCCAAACCTTATTCTTTATAGTCTTGTCTGTTAGTCGGGTCCATCCCTTTGTACATCGCTCCGTTTTGCTTAGTTTGTTGTTTTTTCATGTTCTATACTTGGATTCAGGTCAGTGTAGAAAAATCTCCCATAAATTCAATGTAAACTTTTTTGTTTTTGTACAAATTCTTTATAAATTGGTTAAACAAAAGACAAACAACCCCAGAAAGGTGGGGCTTAAATTGTATGGAAATCTAGAATGAAAAAAGCGTAAGAACCCTAGTGTGGAATATATTTACTTGACTTTTAGTTTGGAGTCGATACAACATTGGCACGAGAAATACACGAGCATGTAATCTTATGAAAAAAATAAATAAATATGCGGTGGCATCTTGTGGGAGTCTGTATATGAACCGGCTGAAGAACCACACAGAGTGTGTGTGGGGGGCGCTGAGAAAGGGAGAGCCGTGTCTGATATTCCTCTCCGCAATGGTGGGACAAATTGGAGCCAGACAGGCCAAAGAAAGAGACCCAAAACAACATCTCCCACAGACGGACCACAGCATGGGCCTTGAGGGGGAAGAGTAGACAGGAGGGGAGTGATACACATATGGATTAGGGGAGAAGTATAGAAAAGGAGACATATGTTACTGATATATCTGCTAACGATCACCATGAATTAAAGCCAGCAGATTTCAGGCTTTTGAAGTCTCGCTTTGTGGTTGGAAATGGAGTTATATGAAATCAATGACGCTTGTTATGGAGGTTAAGGTTAACTTGCAGAGTTGTGTCATGTTCTGTTTTACCGCGTCGGGTTATTGCGTGTTCCGTTTTCCTGTGAACTTGTGCTTTGTAATTGTCATATAGAGGAAGGCTGGAGATAACAGAGCATGTAACCTTTTAAGCATCCTAATCTAACCAATCTGTCTCGACTCGGTTTCCCTGACAGGACTCCAGCAGGCATTTGACAAAGACTGGGAGGCCGGCCACATCACCGTCAACAGCTACAAGAACGGCTCTGATGACGGCGTCCTGGCTTACAAACTGTTGGTGCAGACGGGACGCAGGGACAAACCCATCAACTTCAGCCAGGTATGTGGGGGATTTAAACCTTTCCTGTTCAGTCACTTGACCAAGCGAGAAACACTTGCGCCACGGGGCGCAATGTCAATATTTTCTGCAAAAATTTGATTATCCTATTCAATAGGAACGCCTTTATTTATTTTATTTTTTTCTTAACTGCTCAAATAAATTAACTTCTGAATGAAATTGTCATTTATTGCGATGAACCTGTAATCATTTGGATGGCCTCTAAGCTCCTTTCATGCTAACAACAGATATACAAAGGAGTGACACTAAAGCTTACGGAGAGTGACGGGAACAGATTATTGGGAGCCAATATTCTCTTGTGGACTATTATGTCCTGCAGCTATGAAAAAAAAAAAAAGACGTTTTTTTTTGGAGCATGCAAACTTCAAGTTTGGATTCAGCAGATATTTTTGAGCTGAGTCTCTAACCTAAATATCAGTTTATTTTATGATTTATGTAAATAGTTCCCAAAGAGACTCGATTCACTGTAAGAGTTTGTCCGTTGATTCGCTGAAACGTTGGTTTGCCTCTGAAAAATAACTCTGCATTTGAATAATTTCTCAGTTCCTCCATGTGTGAGATCGGTGAACAGTGAGTCGCCCCCCCGCCCTCCTTGTGTGTTATTAGCTCCCTCTGATTTTAAAGCTTAGCACACCAGTTGGACAGAGAGGCTGCGTTCTGCTGTCTGGTGGTCTGAGTTTAGCACCCACTGCATTTCATTATTAGTGCTGGCAGAGCAACGATAAGGCCATTACTCTGTTTTTGAGAGGTCCTGTTTGCACAGCACTTGGTTGAGATCTACACCTCACCTTGACTCGAAAGCTGTTAGAAAAGTATGAAACAAACGATGTTATCATTCGACAATTTCCAGTTCAGTTGTGGAAGCAGCCTTGTCTCCAGTCTGACATTGTGAGAGATGATGTTATCTAACTGGGACTCAAGTCAACCCAGTGAGCAGCTTAGATCTCAGATGGAGGTCTAGAAAGGAAATTTGCAAAAGATCAAATCAAGTCTCGTAGATGTCAACAGAAAGATACCAATGTGTTGATAATGAGAGTGTGTGTGTGTGTGTGTGTGTGGGGGGGGGGGGGGGATGAAAAAGGGGGAAAGTTTTAGGTTTTTGGGGGGGGGGAATTTTTGGGCACTTTAAAAAAAAA